TGATGGGGTTGGTTGGTGCTGTAGAACTGGCCTCATGACAGCAGCATCTGTGCCTCTTACCAGGATGGTCTGGAGTGGGTGGGGCAGAGAGCGGGCACATTGGCATAGCCAACCTACTGCCCCACCAGCAGCTCCTGCTTGTCTTCACGCTCCTTCATGGGCCCTTATACATGGAACTGCCTCCATATGACCTTCTCTTAAGGAATGTTTAAACATTCAATCCCCACCCCTTGTGAGTTCTTCTTTATATTCATTGTTGACTAACTTGATACTATTACCATTTGTGTGATGATTATGTTCTGGTTTTTAACTTTTCCATTTCCATTTCTGTAAGCTGAAGTCGCAAAAGGTGTCTGCTATCTGCCCCTGCCTTGGTCATTTGATTGCCCTTTTTACCAATTGCTGTCTTTTTTATTTGTATATATTTTATTTGTATATATTGCTTGTTTTATGTTGCTATGGCTGTTGGCTAATGCGAATAAAGTTTATCTATCTATCTATGGAAGTGAGAGCTGGATCATAAAGAAGGCTGGTCGCCGAAGAATTGATGCTTTTCAATTATGGTGCTGGAGGAGACTCTTGAGAGTCCCATGGACTGCAAGAAGATCAAACCTATCCATTCTTAAGGAAATCAGCCCCGAGTGCTCACTGGAAGGACAGGTCCTGAAGCTGAGGCTCCAATACTTGGGCCACCTCATGAGAAGAGAAGACTCCCTGGAAAAGACCCTGATGTTGGGAAAGATGGAGGGCACAAGGCAAAGGGGATGACAGAGGACGAGATGGTTGGATAGTGTTCTCGAAGCTACCAGAATGAGTTTGACCAAACTGCGGGAGGCAGTGGAAGACAGGAGTGCCTGGCTTGCTCTGCCCCTGCTTCCCTGTTCTGGTCAGGGGGGCTTTCAGAATCACATGGGATTTGTCGCCAGGAGGCTTCAGAGAAAGGCAGCATTGTTAGAAATCAGTGCTTCTACCTGGGGACTCCAAGCTTCACACTTTGCCCTTGCATACCTAGTAACAATCTTTTCCTTTTCCACTTTTATTTCACCTTTTTTTTTAAGAGTGTGAGCTTATGAGCAGGGATGAATTCATTTCATTCCCACACAGCGTTTTATATATTGTAGGCACTTCAATTAATCATGGCAATGAATCCAGGTAAAGTAATGCCATTTAACTTCCCAATGATTTCTAGAGCAGTCTTAAACATGCCAGTGGGACCTAACATGTCCTTAACATTGGCTGAATGGTGTCCCAAGGTCCTCCCCATCTTAACTGTGCATCTCTGTAACAATTAGCGCCTGGACAGGTAAACACTGGTAACTTGGTGAGTGACTTTCATGGTTACCATGACATCTGGCATTACAGATCTCTCCAAAGCAAAGCAGGGACACTCTTCTAAGAAATTTCAGCATGCAGCAGAAACACAAGGTGTTGATTCTATAATATTTCAGCAGCAAGAAAATATTTCCAAACACAGGTTTCGTTTTCTCTCTCTACTTTTTTTTACATTTGATCACGTGCCATTGCACATTTGTAAAGACATATACTTTACAAAATATTACAATATTAAACCTGTACAGACAAAACTGGTTTGAACTGAGTGGAGGAAAAAATGTCCTTGCAATGTACTGTACATTCCATTTTTTGTACAATCTTCACAGTTCCTTCTAATGTAGTGTTCCTTGGGCACTGAGCACTATTATGGGACCTTTTCCATCAACCTCCATGTTCTGTTCAGGAGTGAACCAAAGATGAGCTGGGCTGAAATGAAGGACTCTTTCTTGATTTTGTACAGTCCTGTGGTTGATTCTCTATGCTTGGCCTTTTTGCCAGGTCTTGAGGATCCAGAAAACCTATTGATTGGCTCTCCAGGGAGCTAGGTTGCAATAACAGTAGAAAGGTGAAATAATTGTTAAACAAAAGGATACCAGATGAATATTATTTTTTCCCATCTAAAAACCCCTGCATTGAACTCTGGAGACAAGCTTCCTCCATCAACCAGAAATTGTATAGACCAGGTGGAACAATAGCATCTGCAGGCAAGGCAGCATGACTCAATATTCAACTTCCATTTCACCAGTCCCCTCATTTTGAGAAGGTTCCTCCTTTGAGGTCAACTATGACTGCGTTTCATTTCCTTAGCAATTGTCCACTTACACGTCACATGTTATACAATCTCAAAATCACCCTGAGCATTTGGGTAATCATTTATCTCCGGTACGAAAACTCTTGGAAGAAGGTTTCTGTGACATTAAATTATGAGGTATGGAATTGAGGTAAATTATTCATTTTCTTGCGTCATCCTGGCTTGGATGGGGCTATGAATTTACTGACGGATAAATCCTGGATTTTTTCAGCAAGGGTCAAAACTTAATAAACAACAACAACAACAACACCAACTTATTATTTATAGCCCACCCATCTGGCTGGGTTTTCCCAGCCACTCTTAGCTGTCATACAACACATTATTTGCATACAGAACATTGCCTCTTCAATTTACAATAACTCCAAGAAAGTCCTGGAGAGCTACTGCCAGCCAATGTAATTCAGAGGTGGGAAAACCCAGGAGTTAATGTGGCCCTAGAGCCATCTCTGCTTGGCCTTCAGGACTCACTAGGCCATGAACGCTCCCCTAGTCGCACACCCCTTTTAGGCCACGCCCCTCAGCAGCCTTGCCCTGCCCCCTCCTTTGGCAGGTGACTTCTGCGCCAACTTTTAAACACCTGATGAATACTCTTCTGTTCCACAGGGCCTATGCAGGCAATTAAGAGTGCATCCTCCACTTAATGTATATAATGGGTAAGATTAAGTAATATAGCATACCCTCGAACATTTCTCTGATGAAAATAGGGACGTCCCATTCCATAATGATAATTTTACTATTTATGCCCCACACATTATACTGGGTTGCCCCAGCTATTCTGGGCAAATTCCAACATAACATAATAAAACATTAAACATTAAAAAAAAACCTTCCCTATATGGATTGCCTTCAGATGGCTCAGGGGTCAGGCAACTCCATACCCTTCAACATTCCTCCAATGAAAATAGGGACACCCTAAGGGAAAGTGGGACATTTCGGGATCAAACCAGAAACCGGGGCGGCTTCTCTAAATCAGGGACATCTCTGGAAAATAGGGACCCTTGGAGGTTTTGCTACAACAGCTTTCTATGGTAAGAAAAAAAAACACCATGGAAGGGTGGGTGGGAAGTCAATGGATATAAGTGTTGTTTAAAAGAATTTGTAAATTCTGAAAAATTAATGAAAAGGTTCACTTTTAATGGTTTTATTGTTTGGATTTATGTTTTTATATTGTTGTAAAACTGTTGCTCGGTCCCTGCTCCTGCCAACCTAGCAGTTCAAAAGCACGTCGAAGTGCAAGTAGATAAATAGGTACTGCTCTGGTGGGAAGGTAAACGGCGTTTCCGTGTGCTGCTCTGGTTTGCCAGAAGTGGCTTAGTACTGCTGGCCACATGACCCGGAAGCTGTACACTGGCTCCCTTGGCCAGTAAAGCAAGATGAGCGCCGCAACCCCAGAGTCGGCCACGACTGGACCTAATGGTCAGGGGTCGCTTTACCTTTAAACCACTGTGATATATCCTTATGGCATCTTTCCACAGGGCCTGCAAGACAGAGCTGTTCCACCAGGCCTTTGGCCAGGGCACAGCCTGACCCCCTCCTTTGGCAATCATCACAGAACTCTAGCCCAAAGGTTGCCATTAATTTGATTTGAACTGATTTTATCATGAAATGATTTTCTAATGTTGTATTATTTTACTGTTGTTAGCCGCTCTGAGCCCGGCTTCGGCTGGGGAGGGCAGGATATAAATAAAGTTTATTATTATTATTATTATTATTATTATTATTATTATTATTATTCAGTGGCATATAAGTAAATAAATAAATAAATAAATAAATAATGCTTTTGCCCAGCTGGAATGTGTCCCTGAACTGTGATAAGTTATCTTGCTTGTCTGGTTAGAGAGATATGCATATGTAAATGTGCATGTAGAAGCCTCTGACTTCTGTATGAAATGAAGTTGGTCCGTCCTTCCACCCTTTCTCCCTTCCGATGTAGCAAATGGGACTGATGTAGGATATCATTATTTTAGTTGTGCTTTTTGTTTTAAATTACACCGTACAGTTGCTGGACTTGTTATGCTGTTCCCCACTCTGTCAAGAGGAATGGTGGCATAGAAATAAAATTAAACAGCATTGGCATCAACGTCATTCTCTGAAGTAGGGAGTAGGTGATGAGGTAGGAACCTGCTAGCCCTATACAGAAGCCCTTCTCTTGAAAGGTTAGCTGTCTCCCAGCTACATAGTGAAGTCTAGGTCCATCCAACAATGCTAGGTGGAAGATTAGCAAAATCTGCTTCTCGAATAATTTTAACCATTTCTTTTTTAAAGTTCTTGTCCATCAAATTGAATAGTAAAACTGACCCAAATGCTGGTAGAGGTTTTGTGCCATTGTAAATGGTAGCGTTTACAAGTCAGCAAGTTAGAGAAGAGCCCCCTGTTGCCTTAACTGCCAATAAAATTTCTGCACGTCACACGGATTGGAACCAGATGCACTGGATTGGAACCAGAACAAGGTACCGGTAGTTGCACTTTTAGCTCTCATTGAAATCAATGGGACTTAAGTTAGCTATGACTAACTTCTCACATGGATTTCAGTGGAATCCAATTTGCTCCGGATTCAGCCCATTTTTTTTAAAAAAAAAACATTCCATTTTACAATATGGCACCGTGCCATTAGACTGATGTAAACAGGTATCATGTCAGTATTGTATTTTCCAAAGCACAGAGACAAGTTGAGCTCAAGAAGGCTTATGATGACAACATATTTATGCACACACACATGCAATCAGTGCTCAGGATCTGTAGCTTAGTTGCCTTCCAGAAATTTGGATGTTTCGTTCTAAGGCAGGCATGGCCAAACTTGGCCCTCCAGATGTTTTGGGACTACAATTCCCATCATCCCTGACCACTGGTCCTGTTAGCTAGGGATGATGGGAGTTGTAGTCCCAAAACATCTGGAGGGCCAAGTTTGGCCATGCCTGTTCTAAGCATTGTCCTATGAGCAATACTCCTTTCTCCCACATCCACCTAAGACTTTAGGAGTACTCGTCCACCGATGTATATGGGGAGTTGATGTAACTCGATGCTGTTGACATGGCTTTGGAGCTCCTGTGTGAGCAACCATTGAAGCTGGGTTCCTGTGAAGGAGCTCTTTTCTTGCGGCTAGACTTGGTGGTTTCTCCATCGCTGGGGTCAAATACCACCGACATGCTGGATTCCATTCTGGAAACTGTGTAAAGGCTACTTTGCCTGGTAGGGTGGAACCTGGTTGTCTTGAGTTCCAGTTCATCGTAACTAGATACTTCGATGAAAGGACACCACTGGAAAGCTCTCTTGAAACCAGCTCTGAACCTGAAAGCAAAGAAACCCAGTCACTCGCAATGTATTTGTACTGCAGGAGATATCAAGCAGCATAATGTTGCAAGCTTAGGCACCTAAAATTGTGGGGAGAGGTGTTTCAACATGTAGTACAATTACTATGGCAGAAAATGTAATCAGGCTTGTGGGACGAAGGGGGAATGGAGAAAGGGGAACAAGCAGCACAAAGGGACATATCAGGGAATAAGGAAGTGTTTAACTGAGGAGGCACTCTTCACATGGATGTGTGCACACTCATCAATGGGAGTTAAACATCTAGGGACCTGTTAGCATGTTTGAGAAATGAACAGGACATGTGGAGAACATCTGGGGTGTACTTGTGCAAGACATCTAGAGTGCCAGAGGGAAAAACCAAGGGAAAAGAGGCAAATTAGGTGAACCAATTAGATACTGAAGTGTCTGTCATTAGCTTTTAAGGAACCCCAGTGTCTTAAGAACCGTATAAATATGAGGTATGTGTGATCTCTTGGACCTGGTCTCCTGCCCTTGTGCTGGACAGGAGAGCATGGGATCCCTGGCTGGCAGGTCACCTCCACTGGTCAACTGTTTTTGATTAGTCTGTCACCACAGAAAAGTCTTCAAGAAACTGTGAAGCTAACCAATTGAGTTTCTTAGCTTTAAGCTTTTAACTCGATTATTCAATTGCCTGTTTCCTGGTATAAACTTGCAATAAGCTTTAATAAATTCAATTTCTTTTGGATGCATGCCAGGGCTCCAGGTATCTGTCTGCCTAGTTATGTGACCTGGACCCTGTGATCATCATCTGAGACCCTTCTTCGTGTGCCTCCTCCACAGGAGGTCTAGAAAGGACAGGCCTTTTTTGTGGTGGCTCTTCACTTGCGGAATGCTCATCCACAGAAAACTCGCCTGGTGTCTTCATTACATATCTTTAAGTGCAAGGCAAAAAACATTCTTTTTCTTTCAGGCCTTTGGCTAATTAAACAATCTATAGCCTTTTAAACAGAGGTATTGTTTTTGTTTGTTATTATGGTATGAATTTTGGTGTTTTTATATTGTAAACCACCCTGTGATTTTTGCATGAAGTCCAGCTACAATCAGGTTAGCTTCTCCCCTGCAATAAAGGCTTAGGTTAGTTATCTGGATTTGTAAAGACTTGCTGATAAAAGCCAAAGGACTGTGTATGTTTGATTCTATGTTTACAGATGTAGGCAATAACAGAAGCTCTGGACAGGGACAGATGCATTGTTTTCTGTATTAAGAATGCCGTTCATATGTTTTGAGACTGAAACAAGGTGAGAAATGTAGTTTAGCTACCTCACATTCAGAAGACATCAGGGAAGTTTTTAATGTGTGATATTTTAGTGTATTTTTTGTTTCTGTGGAAGCCGCCCAGAGTGGGGTACAGATGGGTGGGGTACAAATAATAAATTATTATTATTATTATTATTATTATTATTATTATTATTATTATTATTATTATTTAGCTAGAGTGTTCCTATAGCCACCAGAGGCAAAATGCTTTGTTTGAGTTAAAGCAGGTGAATCAAAGTCAGATGAGAATTAAAAAGCAGACCAGTGCCTAACAGATGAATTGAAAAGCATAGTTCACATTTCAGCCTGAAGGGAGCAGAAAGTAAACGATGTTTTCTCCTACTTCATTTTGTGTTCCAAGCCCAACATCTACACATCTTGCAATCCATTGCATCTTGCATAATATGGCATGGGTGAGGGAAGCCGTGTCAGTCTGCTACAGTAAACACAAGGCGGAGTCTTGTAGCACCATATTGATGAACAGATTATTGTGGCATATGCTTGTAAATCTGTTAGTCTTGAAGGTGTAATCAGGCTCAGTCATGAAGGGTTGCTAATTAAAAAAATAATTCAATCCGTTCCTGGTTGGCATTTAACAGTATCACTAAAGCAAAATGTGCTCCCGTGCCATTAAAAACTCACAGCGGGCAGGAAGTCAACTGGTGAACTGTTTCCTAGCATTTGTTTGCAACATTTCTATATTCTACCTCAGAGGAGCATTTCAGCTTTGTAGCAAGTCTATGAAGTAGATCAGAGTAGAAGATACATTTCATAGCGGAAGGCGAATTTGAATTTTGATTTCCCAAGTTAATATCCAATCACTCCCTGCTGCACTGCAGTGGATAGATAGCGTTTCAGGTGTCATGTTGAGCAAACCTTCATCTGCTGAATTTCCAAGTGTCAAATGTGCAGGTTCCCCCCAAAAAGATGGCAATGCCACTCCGTGTCTGAGGATTCAGCTATACAGCTGCAAATAAAATGTTTTAAGTGTGCTTTAAGTGCAATATAATAATAATAATAATAATAATAATAATAATAATAATAATAATAATTTTTATTTATACCCCGCCCTCCCCAGCCAAGGCCGGGCTCAGAGCGGCTATGTGCAATGTGACGCTAGATGGCAATGGTGAGCCTTATGGAAAATTCAATGTATTTTAAAAAATGCTTTAAGAAAGCATTTTCAGAACAGTTTTTATATGTGTGTAGATTCCACCTGAGTTCAATGAAATAGGCACGCAGTTCCTACTCATTATGTAGATAGAAGGGAAGTGGTGATAGTGTGAAACAGCATGAATCGGATTCTGTCTAGCAAATTCAAAGCCACTTTATCATTCAGTGGGCTCCAATGGCATCTCTTCCCTAGAATGTACTGTATCAGGCAGAAAGAAGGTGGTCATGTGTTCTGCTTTGCAGAGGCCTGCCCTCTGTTTGAAGGAGCCTTCTGCTTGAAATATAAAGTAACGCAAGATTCAAGGGAAAGTATGAGGATATCTTGATTTGAAAATGTGAATAAGCAAAACGAAAATGCCCACAGTTGTCCGACAGGTTATTCCTAAACTACAGCCACAAATGCCTCATGGAATTCTGAGGCAATCTTACCTTTTATTGAGGCAGCAGTAGATGATCGGGTTGTACATGGTGGAGCTCATAGCAAGCCAGAAGGTGGCTAAGTAGACTTGCTGAATGTATTTCCAGCGGCCCAAGTTCTCATAGATGCCAGTAGCTATAAAATAAATGTGGTACGGCAACCAGCAGACTGCAAATGTCAGGACGACAACAATCATCATTTTAACCACCTGCAGAAAAGGAGAGGAGTTTTGGGGAAATGTGTGGACATGAATGTCTTTTAATCATGGAATTTTATTTTTTGAATAGCACTAAAATACAGGGAACACACACACACACACACACACACACACACACGATACAAGAACACTGAAACAAATAAAGAAACTCACTAATAATAATAATAATAATAATCCTGCCCATCTGACTGGGTTGCCCATAGTATATCACGTTTGTGGGATAACAAGCACACAAATGATAGCATATATGTCTTATTATATGACATGTGCATCATATTCAGAGATAGATAGGTAGAGAGATAGGCACCTATACTAAACTGGAATTTGATCAGAAGCTTCCATGTAGGAAATAGGCAGAAACCACAGTGTAATAATCTCTTTGACATAATAGCTCCTGAACGTCTTTTATTCTGTGCAACACCAGATTATTAATGTTGCCCATTTGCAGCTGTTAGAATTTGAGATAAATCTATCAACATTCTGGACATATGGATGATAATGGGAAGAGGCAAAGCAGGGACAAACATGTGCCAATATCCCTGCCCCTCCCCCAGGCAGCACAAAGCATTTCAGTAGGGAACCAGGCCAAAGGATAGAGACTGAATTAGTTTTCATCAAGTTACTGTCCCTGCAAGGCTTAATGTGAGCAGCTGTTTTTCTGCAGGGCACTTTCTCCCTGGGGTGGCAAACATTGTTTTTTGAGAAGGGAATTGCCCACACAGAATTTACATCTGAATCTCAAGGCGCTTGATTTAGTGACCTCTGTGATTTAAGAAAAAGCTACTATCTGCATTTAGGCTTGCTGAATGGCTAGCTAGATCTCTTTTATGATTCACAGACCACAAACACATAATGAATACCACCTCCCACTTCTCCATTACTTGATCTTTATTGTGCTATTGTGTGTGGTTTAGTTTTAGTTTTTAGTTTTAAGTGTGTTGTCTAGCGGCGCCACTTTGGGGGTCAGCAGGTCAAAAAGCCAGCGACTGTATGAACGGATAAAACAGAGGACGTGACACATGAAGCGATGAAGTGGACCCTCTTGAGAATGGTCAGATAAGGAACACTTAACTTCATTCATTTCCCTCTACTTCAAAAGTAATAACCATAAACAGAATATGGAATTCCTTGACCAGAGGTTCTCAGTGGAGCACAAAGGATAGAACAGAAAGAAAAAGTCCAGGTCAGGGGTCAGCAAACTTTTTCAGCAGGGGGCCCGTCCACTGTCCCTCAGACCTTGTGGGGGGCCAGACTATATGGTTTTTTTTGGGGGGAGAACAAATTCCTATGCTCCACAAATAACCCAGAGCTGCATTTTAAATAAAAGCACACATTCTGCTCATGTGAAAACACACTGATTCTCGGACCATCTGCGGTCTGGATTTAGAAGGCGATTGGGCCGGATCCAGCCCCCGGGCTTTAGTTTGCCTACCCATGGTCTAGGTTATGCATTAAACAAGAAGGAAAGATTAAATACTCTTTAAATGAGGAGAAACCCACAAGACTCTTTTTTTAAAAGATGGTTGTCAGAAAGGACACTAAAATAAGATGCGCTGGGATGACTTCAAGGGCACCCACCTCTCCTGCAAGCTTAGAGAGGTGTAGAAGAGGTGAATGCAGAGATTTAGCAATGGGCATCCTTTTTGCCTTTGGCATAGTTATGACTGTAGCTCCATGGTAAGAGGATCTGCCTTGTGGCGGAATGTTCCAGGCTCAATCCACATCATATCCAGGTAAGACTGGGGTTGTGCTTTATGTGGAACCCCAGAAAGATGCTGCCAGTCAGTGTAGACAATATTGAGTTAAATAGACCAACCTTTTGATTTGGTATAAGGCAGCTTCCTATTTCAGTGTTAATTTTTTTGCTGCCCCCGTTTCTCTCTGTTTATGCTTGGATGATGCCTGAAAGCAAAGAAGCCACAATGCCATGACATACAACTTCAAAAGTGGGTTTGTTCATGTCATGTTGTTCCCGTGGGTCATGTCTTCTGGCAGCTTGTGAATGATGGAAGCCTTCTTATAACTGTTAACTGAATGCTTTCCCCAGTGTTGTGACCTGCCCATCCTGTGTCACTGCAGACTCAGAGATCTGCTTCTGTTACATGCAGAACTGACAAAACAAAGATACTCCCCGCTCCCACCATTGAATTGGTAGTGCTAGTGATCCAAGAATTAATACTGCATTTATTTAGATAACTCCATGCATTCATTAATTTTCACATTCTTTTTGACCATCTAAAGCAGTGTTTCCCAACCTTGGGTCTCCGGCTGTTTTTGGACTACAACTCCCACCATCCCTAGCTAGCAAGACCAGTGGTCAGATTGATGGGAATTGTAGTCTGAAGGCCACTGGGCCAAATCTGTCCACCCTCTGTGATGCCATCAACACATACTCCACCCAATTTTCAACAGCAGCAGGGAAAGAGAGATACGGATGAGTATTATTTATGTCAAAATAAATTGGCAGTAGGCAATTTTGGGGGTGGGGCAACAGGGAGCTTTGGCTCAGCAACCTCCAAGGTGGCTGGAGGGTAAAAAATAGTTGTTCCCATCAATGAAGACATGAAAAATTAGTTATAGTGGAAAGGTTTGGTTTTGAGGGCTTACTATGTGTCAGCCAACATTCATCCTTAAATATTTATCTGGAAGTGCAGTTGCACGTCTTAAGCAGTAATATTTACATGCTGCTCAGTAGCACATGCTCTCTGGGTAGTTTGCAGTAAATAATAATAACAACAACAACAATAACAGCAGCAGCAGTAACAACAACAAATTGTTTAAAGCAATTTAAGCACCTCCATGAAATTAGAACAAAACAAAATCAGCAACAGCATGAAACAGACTAAAAGCAGCAACGTCAAACAACATCAGTACAAAGATGAAAATAGTACTTCTAGATTTTAACATTTTAAATGATTCTATGGTTACAAGACATGGTAAAATAAATAAAAGTGTTGAAAGGACTCCAGTCAGGGGTGGAACCACTGAAAAGAGTTTCTATTGTTTTGATTGCTCCTGCAATTGCAATGATTAATCTATTTCTGCACAATAAGTTTGAAGACATGCTAAATCATTGCTTCACTGCTATGAATTTGGAGGATTTGGAAAACTGCGTCTTAGAATGATAGAATCATAGAACTGTAGAGTTAGAAGGGACCCCAAGGATCAACTTGTCTAAGTAAGGCAGAAATCTCAACACACAGTCCCCCATCCAATTTGAAAACAAGCCAAACCCTGCTTAAGCTTTGCAAATATGCTAGGTGCTTTATTACTGCACTCTGGGAGGAATAAAACTAGTGCTTTTCCTCAGCCCTATAAATATAGAAAATTGTAGTCCAGCTCTCCTCCTACTGCAATAACTACCACTTACATTTTAACAGTGTGCATTTATTTATTGCATTTTCTCCCAACACAAGAACATTTCCTTGTAAAGGGTAGGCAGCATATACTTAAAGAGAAAATATTTTGCTTTTGTTCATGGACGGCTTCTTTCCCTATCACTGAAGTCCATTTCAGATTGAAGCTGCTAAAATGGAATAGGAAACATGTACCTCTCTAGATGTTGTCAAGACTCCCTCTTTCATCATCCCTGACCATGTTGGCTGGGTCTGAAGGGACTGGAATCTAACAAAATCTAGAGAGACATAGGTTCCCCATTCTGGCTGCTAGTCATAAAAGAGAAGAAGGAAACATGACCTCAGTACTGAGCACTCACACTTTGCTCCTCTTCTCTGCTTTGGTCACATGTTTTGCATTATTAAACATTATGGGATTGCATTATGAGTTTTCCCATCCTTCCTGCCCCTTGGGGAAAGTGGGGTCTTCCAACATGATGATGTCACATCACCTTTTTTTTTTTTTTGCACTACTAGGAATGCAATTCTATCTATGGGACTTACTTCCAGGTCAGTGGGTATTGGATAGCACCTAAATGCAATTGCTGCAGTAGTTGGTGGATTGTAACTGAAAGGAAATATGATGCAGGTAATGTATGGAAGTGAAAGCTGGACCATAAAGAAGGCTGATCGCCGAAGAATTTATGCTTTTGAATTATGGTGCTGGAGGAGACTCTTGAGAGTCCCATGGACTGCAAGAAGATCAAACCTATCCATTCTTAAGGAAATCAGCCCTGAGTGCTCACTGGAAGGACAGATCCTGAAGCTGAGGCTCCAATACTTTGGCCACCTCATGAGAAGAGAAGACTCCCTGGAAAAGACCCTGGTGTTGGGAAAGATGGAGGGCACAAGGAGAAGGGGATGGCAGAGGACGAGATGGTTGGATAGTGTTCTCGAAGCTACCAGCATGAGTTTGACCAAACTGCGGGAGGCAGTGGAAGACAGGAGTGCCTGGCGTGCTCTGATCCATGGGGTTACGAAGAGTCGGACACGACTAAATGACTAAACAACAACAAAAAGAAGAAGGGAAGGCAAAGATGTCTATGGCAATATCTCCAAGAGCCAACTTTGTGTGGTGACAGCAACATAGAAGAGGTTGGGATGAAAGAAGGAAGAAAGTGCGTAGCTATGCAACACTGGGGGTGTTCTATGAGGGTATAATTTGCGTACCTATGTGTCTGTTAGCTGAGCTCTACAAATCAGCATCTGTGTGCATCTATAGAGATAGATTGCGCTTATGTTCAAAGTAACACGTGAACGAGCCTTCTGTTATACATAAAAACATATGGAAATGTTGAATTAAGGGTGAAATCCTATGGACCTCCAAAGTGTGTGAGAGAGGTCTGTTGTCCAATGCACAGGGAAAGCAGCAAGGCTGCTCAGGACCATGGATAGCTCCAAGTGAGCAACTTGCTCCAACTTTTGTCCAGAGCAGACTGGGAGCCTTTAAGTCACTGTTTCCTGACTATCTCCTCCAGACTCTATCTGCTAATGGAGAACATCAGAGCTTTAAAGCGCCAACCCACTGTACTGAAGACAGTGCCTTCTGCTGGTGGGAGGCATCTGGTTCCTCAGGCTTAGGGGAAAGTGCCCAAT